TTTTAGACATCACAGAAGGTATAACAAATTCAACAAGGATATTGATTAGATTATGAAGATGATTAAATGTTGGATGGAATTTATGAAGAAAATTACACCAAGTGAAAGGATGAGGTGCAGAGGATCTAAAAACACAACATGGCCTTAACATATTTGGCAAACCTCATTTGAAAAGTTAATAAGATTCCCATAATACTGAGATTCTCATCACTATTAGCGAAGACAAGATTATCTCATATATTAATTGATGAGATGAGGGCAATGATGAGGCAATTCTAAAATTGGTTCAAAGATATTTATTTCAAAAATGAAATTTCAAACTTTTGCAGCAGAAGCTCAACTAGTTCTTTTCTCTAGAGAGAAATAGACTATCTTGGTCAAGGTTAAAAAAACTTTTCTAATACATAGTCTTAATATTAGTTGAAACTAATGATTACATATTTTGCTACCATTTTTTTTAATACAAGTATTGAATAGTATACTTAGTTTAGTAAAAAGTATTTCTTAGCAAATCAATACAAATGCAGATTTGTGAATTTTAAAAAGGTTTAATTTTTTAAAAATCATATTCTTCATTTGCTTGTTAACATTTTTAGTGGGCATATCAAGTGAAAGATGACATAATAAAAGGTCAGAAACTGTTATCAATGTACCAAATGCAAATGATGTACAAAAATTTCAGGTTTTGTTTTTAAGAGCTATCCATGTTTGCATTACAATATGCTCAGAAAAAGATTAATGCTTCTTATTTGGTTGTAAATCAGTTGAATTTCATATTTGGAATGACCATTTTAAACTGGAATTTTGCAATTTTAATTTTACAAATTTTGAAAAAGTTTCATTAAAAATTAATTTCTGCATTACAAAATTTTCCTATAATAAATAAAAATATTGAACTTTAAAACAAACAAATCTGTAAAGTAACACTTTTAGCAAGTTACTCGGATTCATATTTCTATTTTGATAACAAGCATTTAGAAATTTCTCAAATATTTATCCCCAATCCCTTTTTTTTAAAAATTTTTTTAATGTAAAGTTACATATTCAAATAAAGTACTAAAAATGGCTTAGGTTTCACTTTTATTTTTAATATGTTGAAACATTGAGTAACTCCTGAAACTCCCAATGACACTCTCAGTAAATTTTAAATAGAAAGATTCCAAAATAAATGAATTTCCATACCACTTAAGAGCACAAATAACATTAAACAGCTAATAATTTCTTTAGGGAGTTATTCAATGCATTAGTTGAAGAGAATAATTTAAAACAAAATCAATATTTTTGTGCTATGCTGTAAAAATAGTGTATGATTTACAACTCTATTTTGATGAAAGATAAATGACTACACAGGTTTGCTCATAAAATAAAAGCACGCATAACTATGGCTAAACAAAAACAAAGTTTGTGGATTTGATAAATTGGTTTGTTTTTCTTTGAGAAATTCCACACAGTGGCAAAGGTGAGATGTCAGTGTTCTGTCAGACATTTCTCAAGTTCCCATTTTTATTTATAATATAAACTTGTCATTTCAAAGTTAATACTACATATGGTAAACAGAAAAAAAGGTGGTGACTGCCACCAATGAAGAGCTATAGTCAACTGGACAAGGAAGGTCTTGAATAATATTTGATGTTCTAAAAGTTCTAATAGCAGTCTTCTTGTCATCATGAAGCTGACTTTGGACACTTTACCACCAACAGTCATGATGGTTACTGTTAATAAGCACTAAAATGCTGTATGGACAAGTTGTTGGCAAATGTACAGACCTGCAATCAGGATGAAATATTGGTAATGTGATCTTTAAACTAAGCATTTAATAAACCTTGACAGAGTTTTGAAGAAAATCTTAGAATATGGTTTCTACATTTGCAGTGTAAGTTTATGGCACCATCTATTACTGTAATGAACAGAGCCTATCTCCCTAAGAAAAGAGGCACAAAATCACCTGTGCCATATATAGTCATGTAAATTACCTAGTGCCTTAGGACTAATTAAATGCCTGTAGGTGGGCATAAAAAAATCTGCATAACTGACTGAAGCACACATAAAGGCTGGCAGATTTTTTTCTTTGGCAGAAACAAGGATTATGGACTGTGAAGAATACATTTGAATGAACCAGCTGTGAGGTTCAAGGACAAAGATGTGGCAGTGAGGAATATGAAACAGATTAATACAGATATATTACTAGTTACCTATTTTGATCATTAAACAGACTGAAGGACTATGTCCCACTGAAGACAAAATTCACACTCTCCAGGATTCACTGGCCCCTTGCAATGTTAGAGAATTTAAAGTTTTGCTGAGTTTTTTCCCCATTGTTCCAAATGTCTTAAAGTCCACTTTATTAAATATAATGGAAAGACATTTCTTACAAGGTATCAGTGACTCAATGATTTTTCAGAAAACCAAGGAGATTTATTGCAAACTACAAATGTTCTAGTTTATTATGACCTTGAAAAAGAACAAGTTTTCATGAGTGACACTAGCAAGTACAGTGTGGGCGCTGTTTTGTTAAACACAACACTTCTGAGAAGCCTGTGCCTTTGTTTTCAGGACACAGTTGGCCTGTAGTATTTTTAAAAAAAAATCCCAAACCAATTTAAATTTAACACTGTTCGGCCATAGCTTTCAGTGCCATTTAAAACTCCTCAGACACTGGAGCTGGCTAATTGTTACTGACCAGATTCTCCCCAGTTATTTGCTTTATATATTTTCATGAGATACAAATTAGATATTAACATCCATTACAATATAATCTAATTATACTACTTTTGCTGCTTGGCATGTTGTAAACAATATTCAACAAATTGTAAACTCAATGAAGTAGAGATCTAAAAAATAGCAGCTAATATTACTTTTATCATCACCATCACAACATTTATTTCCCTATACTTGTACTGACCTTGTTTGTGTGGTAAATTCCTTGTGGTTCATAACTTTCTTCCATAATGTCCAGTGTCATTGGATATATATCTTGCTTTATCAGAGATTAGTCAGCCAATGACTAGCATAGAGATGCCAGCTCTCCCTCACTAAGTTTCAATTATATTTACTAAAGAGTAAAAGAATTTTTAGATAAAACCCTCAATAGCAAAACCTTTAAAATTTTTAGATGCATAATATTAAAAAGAATGAACATGGTGACGATAAAGTTTCATGACAAGTTTTTAAATAATTTTCTTTTCATATTAAAAAGCAAGCTACAATACATTTCCCCTATGTGAATGATAAAGTTAAGTTTATTTTTTAAGGTTTGCTTAATTTATCTAGATATATACAGAAAGAGAAAGATACTGTTCAGAAGCTAATCCATTATAAGATGACCATTTCCAAGAAAAATTATTTGGTCACTTTGACTTTAGTATAAGGCAGCAACAATAGATATCATCCTAATGGACAAGTTTCAAATTCAACTAAAATCACTAAAATGCCATTTACATAAAGTCAATATTGAAGCCCCAAACCCTTTAATGGCCAATTTCCACTTGTGACAAGTTATGCTAATTACTTTGATTTATCCAAATACAATCACTGCAAATTAAAATATTCATAAAAATGAGACTTAATATCAAAATTTGGGATTGAAGTGGGAGGAAAAAAAACCTTTAGAACTTCAGCCTAATGCTCTACCAGCTGAGCTATTTCAGCTTATGAATGAGAGGACGTCTATTCATACCAAGTTGATATATTCTCAACTACAACAACAGAAATCGTTCAAATTATTTTGGACGAGCCAAAGGAAAAAAAAAAAGAAAAGAAAAAGACAAAATGTACTTTTAAAATTAAACTAATAGCAGTAGTTTTCCTATGTAGATCTTGAAAAGAAGCATTGTTCACAGAATTAGAAATTTATCCAATGATCTACTGGACATACTTGAGCAACACAACCTTGATTAAATCCAAGAGAATGTATTTTCTTTTTCTTTTAATTTCTTATTGAAAATTTTCTTTTTTTCATATACTGTATATAAATAACTGCCAATATGCAGACAAAGCAAATTTTAAACTATTAAAAACAACCATCAGATGTATTTTTCAACTTCCATACTGTGTGAATTTTTTTGGTTATCATTTTATTTGAGCCCAAAAATTAACATCTGCTCAACATCCAATCTAGTATATGTGGAATGATATTACTAAAGAATTCTATTTCAAGAGAAACTTCACATTTGTACTTATAATGATGTCACCTTTAGTCATACTTGTTGGCTGAAGTAGTTGTGCATTTTCCATTAGTGCCAGTGCTTAACATTTGAGGTCATGATTTTGAATCCAAGACAAGCTGGCAGTAACAATCTTCCTAAATCTATTTGGTCTGTGGTGTAGTACCAAGCTTAGTAAATTTAATAAAACGGAGGTTTTCAACCACAATGATTTAATTAAGTGAGACAAAATTTATAATCTATTAATAAAATAAATTATTAAAATGGTTAAATAGATTTATGATAATGGAGAAATTTCTGAAACAAAAAAAATGTTTTTTTTAAGAAAAACTGAAAATCCAACATGAATTTGTTTTCAAAAGGAAAGAGTGAAAAAGATTGATTTAAATAAAAACAAAAAAAAAACAAAAAAAAAAAAAACGATTTTGAATAGTTATAAACTGCAAAGTAAAATTATTAAATGCTGAAAGCATCTGTCAACTTTAATAGGGGTTATTCACTTGGTGCTGTCAAGACATTAAGAAAAATCTAAACAAAATGTTCAATAAAAAATAAAACAATGAGGGTTTACTTCAAATAAGAAATTTAATAGCATTAAATAATAGAAAACAAATGTAGATATCTTACAATTTGTCAGCCTTAAAGACAGATTCTCCAATTCAAGGGGAATGCTTAATGAAGTGGTTTAATTTTTCCCATTTAACGATTAAATTTTATTTACAATAAAGTATTTTTTTTGTCTTATGAAAAAAAAACGCACAAACAAAAATGAAATCCTTGCTTTCCAGACTTAATTATCTTCAATAACAGTTATAAAAAAAAAAAATTCAAACTTACATGTGATGGGTGATCCCATTTCTGTTGAAACTCCTCTTTTGCTTTAGCAAGAAATTCCTTAACTGAAAGAAAAAAAGAAAATAATTTTCCTTTTGAACCTAGTTATTTAACAAAGGATGATAGATTTGTAAGGGAGGCGTGAAGGAAAGTTACGGACAAGAAAAAAATTACATAAAATTAAAAGTAGAAAAAGCTGAAAATTTAAAAAAAAAAAAAAAAAAGAAATTATGCAATATTTCAAGCAAGACTGACAGGTGAGATATTCAAACGATTCTCTGAATCATCTCTAATGATGATCAAAGAGTGACAAGGGGTTATATTTGATTTTGAAAGAACTGACAAAGTCAAGGAGTCACAGAAAGTTGCATTATCTTTTTACAAGCACATTCTAATGATGAAACTATATTGTAGAAAAACAAAACAAAAAATATAAAAGAAAAAATAAAAATGAAATAGAAATAAAGACATTGAGAAAAGAGCAAGTTTATTTATGCCAAGATCATTTCAAACTAACTCATTCCATTATTAGCAATAAAAGTGGTCAAATGATTAAAATAAATGAAATCAAAGAAGAGAGAATTTTAGGCTAAACCTTTTACATTTTTGCCAGAAATATTTAAGTGGGTCAATAAGTTAAATACAAAAAGAGAGCTGATTTTAAACATAATCAGATTTATTGCTATCAATTAATTAATGTTTGATGATAGTTAATAACAAATAGTCTAATAACATTTGAATTCAATTGCAATTGTATGTAGGATATATCAATCTTCGCTGATCTTCATTTGCCTAAAGCAATGAAGTGGAGAATGGTTTAAAAATGAAATGAATAGTATAAAGATGAAGTCTCAGTTTCTTTGGGTTGTACTTTTACAAAATCCTAACCTACACATTGACCTTTACATTGCATTCATGAATTATATTTTGAATAAATTTCTGCAGCTATGGGTGGGACCTCAGAGTAGAAGGTTGCTGATAATTTAGGGCCCAATATATATATATATATATATATATATATATATATATATATAATCTTACTAGCAGATTCTAACAAAGGAGATCAATTTTATCAAAAAGCTTTGTTCTTTGCTGAAGATAGTTTTTAGTCAAGTTGGCAAAAGAGTTGCATTTTTTTTTTTTTTTTAGATGCAAAATAATGAGAAGAATGAAAATAAATGGATGAGAACTTATTGGCAATAGTTATAAATATTAGAAATGTAAATAGATCGCTAAAATACTCATTATTGGTAAATAAAAAAAAAATAAAAAAAAAAAAAAAACAAAAAAAAAAAAAAAAAAAAAAAAAAGAAAAGAAAAGAAAAAAAGACAAATGTGCCAGAGACTGCTATACTGAAAAGAAAAATAATTAAGTGTTTTGAAATCATAAATATAAGCTAAAATGGAAGAAGCATCATGTATGAGGCTTTTATTAAGACTTGGATAATGCTAATGTTAACTACTTCTAGATTCTTGGGTAATAATCACAAACCTTATTCTTGTCAAAATGTAACTCTAGTCCTGACTATTTACAGCAAAAAATTCTTCATTGAATAAGGCAGACTTATGACACAAAACTCAGCATAAAAAATGGTTTTGTGCAATGGAATGAAAGAAAACAAGTCCATTCATATCTGGCAGTTGATAAAAAAAAAAATTAATAAAGCCAAAACATTTATCTAATACTTGTAATGAATTATAGATGGGAAAATTTATTAGAGCTACAAAACTAGTAAATTACAAATAAAATAATCTGTGTAATACATTAGAGAATAAAGCAATTAACTAAAATCTTTCTAATGTTTTGAATTCTAAAGAACATTCGAAGCCTTTTAGTGAGTGAAAAATTCTAGCAGCTGAATAACATTTTAGACATTTGAATAAATAAAATTATCAAAAAAGTAAACTTGAAAATAAGCAACTTCTATACAAAATTGATAAGGTAAATTAGTTTCAACATTAATGAGAAAATTTATAAGTTGATAATTTGTAAAAAGTTTTATATTCAAAACTATGCCTGATGTTGCATAGAAATAAGTCAGCGGAATTTCTCAGAAGCACATGAATGACCGTTTAAAGGGAGCAAATGGAGAAATATATAATCCTTTAATAAACTAGAAACAAAATAGTTTATCATCAAGTGAGTGTGAGTGAGTGAATGGAAGGGAGAAAGAGCAAGTTGGAAAAAAAAACAAAAAAACACACACACACAAAAAGGAGATTTAAAAGCTGTCAATGAATAACTTACTTTCTTGTCTGGGTAGATTTAAAAAAATAAGTTTACAGTTTTAATTTGAATAAATATAATTTGGGGAAGAAAATTTAGAAATATTTATTCTGTGTATTCAGTACAAGAGTGTTTGCATGGGCCAGTTTTTTTTGTTGTTGTTTTTATCTGCTTAACAAAAGAGACTTGTTTGTTTCTGTAGATAGACAAGACATTGTTTGAGCAGGACTGACAGATATTATGACCTAAAGCAAAATCAGAGAAGAAGCTTCTTAAGTAGTAAGCACAAGATTTACCTCTGCACTTTCCATATTACATTTCAAGAGGAATTTTGTAAAATAGAAGAGAAATAATCAAAGATTACTCAACACACAAAAAAGTTTATTTAATACAGAAAAGCTGAAAGAAATGAGCAAGACTAAAACATTGACATACAGAAAAAGTGGAGATCTATCATGACTAAAAGAATCCAAACAAGTGCAAAATTTTGTGACAGGCATTAACAGGCCAAAACAAGACAATTCAGCAATGGTGGCTCCAGAGGTGTGGGATGAGAGTTAAATTTTCATTTGAAGTTTATTTTTGCTTTCAGATTATTTTCTTCTATATGCCATGTCTCTTCAGTATGTGAATGATCATAGCTTTCTACAACTTCCTATGCTGTTCTGCCATCTATTTACACTAACTCATTAGGTAGGTTACTCAGTGTTTTCCTATGTCCCCCTTGCCTCCAATATGTCCTGTGAGTATCAAATTTTCCAGGTTGCCTTTTCACATTAGGAGTCCCAGAAATTTCATGTCTCTTTAATTTTGTCCTTTTTATTTCCAATTTCCTTAAAACTTCCTTATTGCTTACATGCTCCATCCATGGTATTCTCAGTATCCTTCTATAGAAACATCTGTTGCTTCAACCCTTCTCTTCAGTTATGAGGAAATTGTCCAGCATTAATGCTTGAAAATTATCAACCAATAATATTGTGATAAGCAACAATAACATGGAGTAAGACTAGTAATAAAATAGGAAAATGTTTCATTTAAAAATGTTACATAATTTATTTCTGTATTGGAAGATTGAACAATTTCTTTTTGTATAGGTATTAATTTTAAATTAAAATTACTGTTGGATATCTTGATTTACAACAGGTGACTACAAACAATTTTGGAAGACCAACTCAAATCTATAGTGGCAACAGTTCCAATTAGCCAATTCTGGATGCTTTTCATCAATTGCTTCCTTTAATCAGGCCATTTAGAAATGGTATGAATCTGAATTCAATGTCATTTTGTAGGAGGAGATTGTAATACACAATATCCCACCAGATACACAGCAACACTTCTTCAGAGGTAGACTGGCTTTTGAGGTGATTAATAGTGGCTCATTTTGTTTTTCCCCAGAATTTTGTGGCTCCACATTGTTGCAAATCCATTTTTATCAATTGTGATCATTCTTTCCAAATATGGGTTGTTTTTGTTGCATTTTAGCATAGAAATGAAGATAGGAAAGAAGTTTAAATTTTTCATTATTTTTCCATTAAAGCATAAGAGACCCAAACACTGTAGTGATTAACATCTCCAAGTTTTCATGCCTTACCAACACTCACGACATATGTGGAGTAACTGTGATGTCACGTGACCAGGATTATTTTTAATTAGCATTTCAATTTGGTCTTCAACAACTACAGGCCTGCTAAATGATCTTGGTCCTCCAGATAAAAATTTCCACTTCTGAACCAAGCAAACTACTTATGAAGGGTACTCTAAACTATGGTACATAACTATTCTGCTGTTTTACAGTATTTTTATTCTTCTTGAAATAAAAGAGCATTAAAATGACAAAAATGCATCCCATTTCCTCCATTTCATGTTTAATGTAAAAAACACTTGAAACTGACAATGCAATTTCAGTCACATTAAGCAATATTAACCAGTTTAATATTTTTGCAGTAAATTAAAATAAATACTGTACAAATATTAAAGCGGGTAATTTTGTTTAGGTAATCTTATTTTATGGAAGTAATTTTATTAGGTAATTGATCCGCACCCCTCACATGTAAAATACAATTATCCAAAAGTCAATTTTGCAAACCCTAAAATTTGCAAGTCTGAATCCCAAATTTCTTCATCCTGGCATTTCTTAATCCATGTTAGTCTCTAAAAGATTCCTACATTTATACAAACTTTAAATTTTGAATTCTGAAACCTAAATTCCAAAGTCCCAACCCTCCAGACCTTAGAAAATAATTTTCATACAAGTTTTAGAAGCGCCATGTAATTTTTACAAAATCATAGTTTAGTTAATATATTTAAAATTCAGTACCCCAAATCTTTCTCAAAATGGTCAAAAAGTGCTGTGTAACAGGTTGTTGTAGTAACTATGATGACCAAAATAAAGTTAATGTATTTTGTCTTCCCCAAGACCAGGATGAGCAAGAACAATGATTAAAGACACCCTTGAGTCAACACCCCTGACAAACCAAACACTGTGAAAGGCATTTTCCACTTGATTATGAAATGGGTTATTAGAAGAAAAATATGACCCAGAAATCCATCATCAGTATTTGATCATTTGCCATTAACTAATCCTCAACCAAAACCAAGAACAAATAAAACTTCTGCTTATGTGCAAAATGATGAGTTGGCAGAGTTTCTAGAAAAGGACAAAATCCTCACTTTTGAAAATTTGTATCAGAATATTGATCAACAGGATTTTGTGTCAGTAGTTACATGCTATAAATGAAACAATCAGTTCCTCATCCAATCTGATTTTTTTCATTGGAGGTATTCCAATGTTTTTAATTAAAATTTTTGGAAACTTGAGATCTGAATGCTACCATGCTG